TTTGCAAAAGCAAAGTTAAATTTGTAAAGTTCGTGTAGTAAAGTCTCGCTCCGTGGTATGAAGTGCTGATGTGTAAGCCAAAAGTCATGAAGACTCTACTTTGTTTTGCACTCGAAATTATTTCGAAGTTATTAAAACAAATGTTATCGAGGACAGCATCGTGCAGCTTCCAGGAGCCGATATTCTCATCCAGCGACGTCGGCCTCTCATTCCAGGCCCGGTTTGTGTCTGAATACGCTTATGAAACGTTATGTTTTATAGAAGTCATTTGTGTTAGCAAGTGCACGACGGCTCTGAGGTCGTCTAATCCGAGTGAGACGCCCACATGGTAATTTATAAGACGTGAAAAGAGACGAAACGATAGGGATGCCGGCTTTTTAACTCGCGACTATTTATCTGCAAAGCTACACAACGCGCTTCGTTCACCGCTTACCTGCTGTAATAACCACACTACAAATTTATTGTAAATGAAACAGTATCTAAAAGGTATTTATATCTCTTATTATATTTCTTTCTCATTATGAGTATATCTCAGTTAACGTTGCTAGTCGGATGCCTCGTATTTTAGCCATTATGGCCGGGTTAATTATAGTACGAAAATAATTTTTTATTATTTTCGACAAACATAAAAATACAATACATAAAAATAAAAATCAGGGTGAATTACAGGCGAGTGACACGAAATTTCCTGCAAGGTGCATTTCGGTGTTGCAGGTGGTAATAAGGGGCCGCTGCCTCCCATTTCTTTAAATCAGCGACGGCTTGATATGATTGCAAATACATAGAGCAACTTTACAAAAACACCAATAAATTATGCTATCGAATAAACGATCGAAGAAAAATCTCAATTAAACTCCGTCGATTAATTATGAGCCAAGTTCCGGCTGAGATCGCATCAGAGATGATTTACAGAATCCCGGAGCGGAGCAGCCCGAGTCACTCGCATAAACAGAATGATTAACTGGTTGTCAAACTAAAGAAATAAACGTAATTTATAGAGACTGGAAAAAACTTCACAAACTTATCAATATCTTGGCGTTAATAACGGCCTCTAATGACGGCAACGTATGTCTTGCGACCCAAACACGCGATGCGAACAGAACAGGTAACTATCATTGTGAGGAGAACAATCTGTAATTCTGCACATTGAAAACTGGGAGGATTAAATAAAGAAAATAATAAGTTTTTATTTTGCCGTTTTCTTTTTATTTCAAAATTTGGAAAACGTACCTAAAGCTTCTCAAATTATTGTTGTCAAAAAATAAAAAAACTCTGCAATCAGTTTTAAAAGCAAAAATTCAATTTGAGAATAACTATACTTTAAATTAAAGTTAAAAGCAACTTCAATTTTATGTTAATTCCCATTTCTAACACCATTGTCTAGTATAAAGATTACTAAAGTAGAAATATTCATTAAATAAATAATTATCTAATATCAACAAGGACTTACCACCTAGAATTCAAATTTTTAAGAAATTTCGTTTTTTATGTTGCATGTACCTAGAATTTAATGAAGTACATTCAGAAAAGTAGAAAATGTCGTGTCCATAAACCGACTCTCATTATTTGGGTCCTCCTAGCTAACCGCAGTTATAATTTATAAACCATCTGCGAGGGAAAAGTAATAAAAATGCTTTTGCATTTAGCCTCAACATTTTTTTTTAACTAAATCTTGTCTTGAGATATTATTTCATTAATAATTATTATAATTAAACGTGTGTAAAAATGTGTTATACGGTGTGTTATACTGAAACGAGCAAATTTGTAATTTTAAAACGTCATTATTCTGTCTCAGTGGAAAGAAAAATAATATAGACATAGATACGATATCTTTTGTTCATCACCAGAAACCACATAGTCTCCAACTTAATCAAATTTATCTCAACCTAGTGACGAATACATGGGCGCCCGCAGAAATTATGGCCAGGGGGGGCAAAAAAAAAGAGTCGAAATTAATAATAACAGTTTCATTTGTCTATTTTCATATCACTCAGTTCGTAATAAAAATGTAAATATTAGTTTCTTATTTCGTTCATGAAAATTTAAGTTGGAACGTGTTTGTAAAAAATCAAAAAAATCTTTTTTATATATCAAATATTGCAACCACTATCGTCCCAGGGGGAGCAACGCCCCCACTGGCTCCCCCCCTGTGGGCGCCCATGGACGAATATGCCTAAATCCTAAATAATTTCTTGTTGATAAATCTGTATATCGTACGATCACATAAATTTGGAGTGGACATCGACTCTAAAAAAAAAATCGAGTCTTTGCTCAATTGTATTGTAGATAATTAGATTTACACATTAAAATTATGATTTTATATATTTTTTTATTTTTTGATTATTTGAGGATAAGCCACAGTTTGTGCTACTTCTGCCCTTGGATAAAGTCATTTGGTATTTCAAATATTAACTTTGAGTTTGACAATAGTGATAAGTTGATAACAGTATCGGTCTTTTGAATCAAGAAAAGACTCGAATTTTGTTTCTCAGAGTCGATTTCGACCCCATATTTATTTGACCACACGATATTAGCATTGTAAAAGAAAAGAAAGCCAGTTTCTTTTTTAAAATTAAAAAGAAACTGTTTTTATTTGTGTTATTTTTATGTGGTAATTTGGTAATTTACAAACTCTGCTTCAATTTTCTTTACATTCATAGATTATGTGTATATATTAAGTGTAAGATTATAAATGTAACTGGTCTGAATTGAATTAGAGTTTTTAGTCGTAAAATAATATCAATTAAGACAAATTTAGCAAATTACATTTGGGTTAATGATTGTCCTGTTTCAATTAATTAAATTTAAGAAAAAAAAAATGAAAGCGGGGCAGTTGCGCCCCCAATTATTGTTGGAAACAAACGCAAACGAAACAAATTTTCCAGTCGACTTGGTGCCACCGTTAAAAATATGGCTAATTGGTATAAACGGCCGTTTACGTTAATTATATTCGTAAGTAAGGATCGGCCTGATCGCATATTATCGCATCCATATTTCGCATGATGATAGTGGTGCGCATTCTGTTGCCAACATGAGCTTTAAAATTTTCGTCGTATAATCATAAATTCTGCATTTAATTTGATTGGATTAAGACGCCTCAAAAAAGATGTGTCTGTAAATCGACGGTAATTTATTGGTAATTATTTTGATACTCGGGGAGAGAAGCTATTACCGTGACTCATGCCTATATAAGACAATGTTTACCGCTCTCTCACAGTTCTCATTATGCATAAGTAGTTTATTAATAAACTGGGCTCACATCATTTTTATTGGACCTCAGGAATATATTATCTAATAAATAAAGTTTCTAGTTAAATTTTAATCTTACTTTCGTTTTAATTTGGACGTAAAACGCATAAAAGTCGTGACGAAGCTAGAGGACCGACTTTTATGGGGATGGCGTGGAGTTTGCCACTTGTGTCTGGGAAACAATCGTTAAACTTTGGAACTTTAGTTTTTTCACTAATTTAATGAATGAGCAGCAAAATATTATTCTGTTTGTTTCGCTTCTTGAGAAATTTTTAATAAAAATAAATTTCGAAACCGAATTGTCTTCCTAGATAAAAATTCACGACGACGACGCCGCTTCCTCCACCGACACAATAGCGGCATAAATCGGACAGTGAGCATTTGTGCCAGTTATTTATGTCTCATATTTCGTACTAAACGTGCTGTAATTAGAGAATTGTGGTGTGCGTGAAATATAGGTGAAGGGTTGGGGATGTTTATGGGTGTTGTGACTGCATTGCCTCGGGGCGCACGAGATACTGGGATGCTGCTGGTGGCGGCGGCGGTGGTGGCAAACTCCGCTCACCACCCTCACCGACAACGCGAAAGCCTTAATTAGATTGCAGCTCAAAAATTATGTGCTAATAATGTGTATGAAGACATTGCTTTTTCTTTAATTGGCTCTCTTATATTCCAACACGACTACCGGAAGGGTTGTAAAATCTTGTTACTACAGTCGCTCTAGGTAATGATGGTTTTCTGCAAGACACTACCACATTGCCGCTGCCGCTCGACCGTAATTAAAATATATTTCCCGCTAGTTCTAGATCTTGCTCTAAGCTCCCGACGTCAACTAAATGCTCTTAGTGGCCTTTGGACAACTATTATTGCACTTTCTTTTTTCTTCAATTGCTTTTCGAAAAATTCTATTTGCACCACCAGTGAGACAATATTGTATTGTTAGTCATATTTTTTGGTTGATTCTTTTTGAAAAAAATCGCTAATTGTGACGAAAACCATTTTTCCAACTGAGCAGGACAATAGTATGAACAGAGTTAATGAAAAAAAATCGAGCGCCGTGCTTCCAAAAGCGGCAATTGTCGTATAATTGTTTATAGTCAGTGGCGTTCGTGTTACCACATCGGCCTCAGAAAAGCAAAGCCGTTGTCAGGTCGGCACCTGTGCAGGGCCATTTCGCACGCATTAGCGACCACGAGGACACGCCGTGACATAGCCATGATTTGCAGCCGACCGTTTATAAACGCCTTCCCATAAAACAGCCCCTACGTCTACCTTACCATCGATGTCGACCAGAACGAGAGCGTCAGCCCTTCAGGAAGCATCCCCACGTCTCCGACGGGTGCCCTAAGTAGACATTTGCCTAACGTATTATCTCATAATTCCCCGAGTTGTGTTTAAGTTGCGCGCCGCCGGACTCGTCCTTTGATATATAGAGGGAGCTACGGTCTAATGTGTACTTAAGTTATTTACTAGCAGATGGGGTGGTCGCACTCGGGAGAAAAGCCGAGATTTATACACTCGCAAAAGTTTCAGTTTCCAGTCATATTGTTTATCCATTAGCACAAGGGATGCTCAACAGCTTTCCCTCCCTCACACTGAAATATTATACATATATGCACGCTTGTCGGTATTTATCAATCAACAGCGTAAAGTCATGGCTACAAGCGTTCAAGGCGAAGCCGAGTTTGAAGCCATAGCAAAAATAACTTATTAATTCACTGTCGTGTGAACAAACCACAATATGCACTTACTTTTTTTTGAAGCTGGCTCCACAGGTCGAGCACAGAAAAGGCCGATCGCCAGACATTTCCCGTTTCTTCTCCTCCTGCAACTTCTTTTTGCCCTTCCTCTCATGATTTCTCACATGCAACATCCAATTATTCTTCCTAACAAAACCTTTGGAACATATTGAGCATATAAAAGGTCTTTCTTTCGTATGTAGTCTTAAGTGTGGTTGTAGAGAAGCTTTTACGAACAATTTGTCACAAAGTGGACACTTATACTGAGCCATAGGCTTCTTTTTTGGGTTTGATGGCATTACCATTGCTGGTTCACTATGAAGAACCTTATGAAAAAGAAGCTCCGATGTAGAACTTGAAGAATAAGTGCATTTATCACAAGAATTTGCACTGTCAAAATTTTCTTTATAAGAGCATGATTTGGTTCGTAAATGAACTGTAAGTTCCTGAGGCAAAGTAAAAGTGGCACCACAGAGGCTACATCGGGGGCTAAACTCTTTATGTTTGTCATTGAGATGTTGTTTATAATCGCTTAAACTCGCAAAAATTTCGTTACAGTAGTCACATTTCCGTTGCTGCCCTTTTTTTCTACTTAAAACTTTATATCTATGTTCACTCGTATTCCTATGCACTTTTGCATCTTCTTTTTTTGTAAAATTTTTATTGCAAACAGTACAAACAAAAATATTGTCGCCGTGTACAATTCGTTTGTGCCTTTTCAACAAAATATTCGACCTAAACACTTGTTGACACTTTACGCAAATAAAATTGTTTATAACGCAGGTCAATCTTTGCGAAGTATGCCCCTCAATTTGGCAGTGTTTCATCAAGGCAATGTTTAGTAAAAATTCTTCATTGCATTCTTCACATTTCACCGGATTTATCTTCTTCACAATTATGGGAACAGACCTATTTATGACTGACACCACAACTTCGTGTTCTTCTGAAATGAGATGAGCATACATGGTTGCACTATTTGCATCTTTAAATTTACAAAAAGAACACCAAAAATAGCCACTACCAGAATTAGCCCTAACCCAATGATAGTCTGAAAGCCAATGCTCCAAGAAATCTTTATGGTGATTGAAATAAAATTTGCAAATGCCACACTGATAGGGACTTTGGAGGATAATCTCGGAAATGTTATCAAGAATCATTGCTTGAGCTACTGGGGTTTTAATATCCCCTCTTCGGCAATGGTAATGCGAAATCAAGTGTTTCCCCATTAGGAGTTTGTTAACCTTGGAGTTGCAAACTTCACATTTGATAAAAATTTTCTTGCGCTTGCGTTTTTTGAGACAAATAGTCTCAGCATTTGACTCATGGCTAATTTTCTTCTTAACGCGTTTCTCAATCAGTCCTAAATTGTCATCAAAATCTTTATCGTGAAGAGTTCTTTTGAAATGTAGTTCCGATTTTAAGTGCCTTTCGTATACAATTTTCGACGCCAATCTGCGATTGCAAGGCCGGCACCAATACTGCACGGTGCCACTTGACTTGCGAAAAGGCGAATCATCGGTTATTTTAGTCAAACTTTTTTTAGTTTCGTCAAGTGGTATCCATTTGCCTTTGGTGTAGCTGGGAGAAGGTCCTGTAATTGTTGACGGTTTCCATTTTCCACTAGTGTAAGTGGGTGGAAGAATTTCAGTCTCTTTTTTGGTTTTTATTTTAGTCTTAAGAGTGTCCATTTTCGGTTCGTCGTCAGGTTTCCATTTCCCCTTTGTATGAGTTGAAGGAGGAGTATTAAAATCTTGTCTGGCTTTAGACTGACTCCATTTACTCCCTGTAAAACTTGGGGGAGGAAAATCATAAGTTTCTTTTGGTGAGAGAGGGTATGAAGGTTTCCATTTGCCTTTAGTGTGTGAAGGAGGTGGCGAATTTCGTTTTAGTAGAGGCTTCCACTTGCCCCCTGTGTAACTAGGAGGTGGGACACTCCAATCTTGAGGTCTCTGCCATTGAATTGGTGATGATGGTTTCCATTTACCTCCTGTGTGGTTTCTAGGAGGAGCATCATGATTATCTTCGTCTGAAGATTCTTCAACATCATAGTCATAATCTTCAGATTCAACATCACTATCTTCGTAAACACTTATTTTCAAAGGATCTTCTTTACGTCTTTCTAGATTATCAACAGCTTTGATTAATTTTGATTGGTTGTCCCCATAACCAAGTTTGAGTTGATGTCCTCCAATCCAAACATTTTTTCCAGATTTAGATTGAGGAATTTCTTGAGTTTCTTTTTGTGAAGTTGATGCTTGAATTACGGCTGTTGTTTTACTTCGGGTTAAAATACCACTAAAATTTTTGCCGGTACTTGAAGGTGTTAGTTTTTTGGTACTACTTTGTAGTTCTAGAGATGAAAAAAAATCATCAGCTTTTAAGTTAAATGAATCATCAGGTGGTAGAATTTGGCTCGGCAATGGTGATTTTGGTAAGTCTACGACGTGTTTGGGACATCCTGTTTTGCGATGGTTGACGTAATTGTCGAGTCCTATTATGGTGGAGTGACATTTTAAGCAAAAATGTGTGTCATCGTCGTAATCTCCAATCATTTCTGCAAAAAAAGCAAAAAGTATGTTAGGATATGTTAGAGATAAATCTGTAGAAATGGCGTGACTGCATGCAGTAGTTCTTGGTAATTGCTGAGACAACTATGTCTGGTTTAGATCTGGTACGTCAAGCTATGAATGCTCGCCTAATATAATAAATAATGTGATGGATAACCCCAGGAAGGATCTAAAGACATGCAAATAAAATTCAGAAGTGAGTTCCGTAACGAGTCTAGTTGCAAAGCGAGAACTAGTATTATAAATAATAATTAAGTGCGAACGAAACGTTGGCGGCGCTGAAGGGTTAGTTGAGGTGGTGTCGGATCGATGGGGAAGCAGTTATTCGGACGACAGCCTCAACATAACTGCCTCTAGAGAGGCTCGTCACTGCCACATCACAATTTGATTAAAAGGTTTGTACGGTGAGATCATCGACACACCTTCGACAAGATGAATGTGATCGAGTTTTGTGCTGTTCTTCGTGGAAGTTGAGAGGAGACGATAAGGTATTTGCATAAAATGTCAATCGTACGTCCGCGACTTGCAACATCGCAATCCAGAGACCCGAAACTTGACGGCGACCGAGTAATAGCTTCAGTCTGAACTTGTTATGACGCTCTTCGTGATAGGAATGTCTCATAGCTGAAGCTCACTCTGGGATGGGAGTCTTAAATGTATGCAAAACTTGCATGCATGAGATGATGAGAGTGAAACATAAACTTTGGATTAATAATTGATTAACGACATGCGAAGGCGACCGAATCAGTTTTTATGAACACAAGATGACTTCAGCCGAAGTTAGATGATACGAATTTACTATTTGGATTCTCTTCATGAATACAGTAGAGGTCTGCCACCATCAATAAGTTGCTGAAATAGTGATGGCTGATCGGAATGCACGACGCAAGGAAGGAACAAAATTTATTTATTTTTCAGGTCAACATATTAAACTACATTACATAGCAGTTAGTTCTAATTGTTTACAATGACGTTATTAATTATCAGAGTCAATACATAAACCACATTTTTCTTACCACAAATTGGAATCAAAAGAATAGAACTGATCAAAATTTTGGTCTCAAATATAAAAAAGCAAAAAAGTTTAACTTACAGAAATAAAAAATAATAACAACACATGTACATTAAATGACAAAATACAAACAAAAACAAAAAAAAAACTAGTTCAATATACAGGGTGATTCAGATAAGATAATGAGCCTGACGTTCTGGCGATGCAACCCCAAAAACAAATTTCATTTACGTCTTGATCTAACTTTAATTACGATTTGCATTTGCAATCCAAGTTATCTTATGTTGCTGTGACAGTGCTTTGACAAACAATTTATAATAATTATAGCTTGTTCCAAATCTGGTGGCGAACTGACGTTGTCAAAAATGACTGAATTTTGACAATAAACATATGTTTACTATTTAAAAAAATATTGTCCATAAGCGTCGTATGAAATAATATTTCAAAACCACTGTTATTCTTTAAAAAATTATAATAAGTAGGTACTCGTACATAAGATGAAGAATGATGAACAGATTATTAAGAAAATTAAATTAAATTAACGCATGAAAAGAATTTTCAAAAATGATATTTATAATAATCCTTGTCTTCAAAATTTTTAAAGAAAAAAAGTACGCCCATGTATTTTTTATCTTAACCAAGTGGGCGCACTCCAAGTGTCTTTTCTGTCACTGTCAGTTCGCGACCAGATATGGAATAAGCAATAATAAAAAAACTGTTTGCGTGCCTTCAAGGTTTCATTTTTTCATACATTTTGTGTTGGATTTACACCGAAAAGACTTTCTAATTTCTTTATCATTCCGCGAGAACAGAATGGCATTAATGGTCGTTCTCTGCGTTGATGTCAGAGTGACATAAGATGATAACTTGGATTCATCTTCCAAATCCTAATTAAACTGAATCAAAGGCGTAAATGAAATTTGTTTTTGGGTTGCATCGCCACATCGTCAGGCTCATTATCTTATCTGAATCGCCCTGTATATTAACAAGTGTTTTTTTAATTTTGGCATTTTAGTTGACGGTGACTATGAGTTTGTTGAAACAGTGACAAATGTCAGATAACTTTGAATTCGATGGTTCGTTTATAATTAAACTTTCATGGCAAATTTTGATGCCAAATTTAAACACCCATTATTTGAATGTTAAAGGTACTCGAAATTTTACCAGGTTGAGACAGAATAAAAACCATTGAAACATCAAATTATTAATTAAATAAAAAAAAAGAGAAAAACACATTCCAAGTTGTTTATTTTCGTAAAAAGTTGTTTTTAATCAGAAAAATGTGGCCTGAAGGCCCAAAACATTCCAAGAACCTACCTAGTTAAGAAAAAAAATCCGAAAAAAGTCGTTTTGTCCGTTTTCGGAATAGACTTACCTCAATAGACGGAAGAAAAACATTCTACAGAGTATAAATTCAGACAGTAGCGCAGAAATTTCAGTTGCTATTGTTTAAAAAGTTTTGGTCATCCATCGACCATTGCAAGAAATAAGCTCAGTGGCCTAGGAAGCGAGTGTTGAAAGTTTTTGTTGTATGTATCAGGTTTGTTAGTTAAGAGTAATAAATCAATTGTGGATATGAGTGATGACAAACAAGCTAAAGTAATCCTCTAATTCGTGTGGAATGAGATGAGGTGATGTTTTTGCGAGGAACATCGCTGTCCGCAGGGATGATGGATCCATTACTTTAGGTCGTCAGAGTACGGCGGACCTGCAGACTAGAAAGCTAACAACTGGCCGCTAATTATTGTGAAGTTACCGCCCGTCTAATTGAAGATGATTGAACGGACGGCTTGGAACTACACTAGGCCTATGTTATAACAAAGATGACTTCCAGGAGGTTTTCAGCTCTTCAACGCGAACCATCTAGAGATCCATCATCGTCCTGAGAGGGCGTCCTCGAGCCATCAATCTATGTTTAAATTACTGGTACGGTGTTAAATCAGCGAGACGACTTAATTCCGACAATTAGAGTTCGTTAAACTTTCCAACATTTGCGAAATTGTTAATAATTTATCTTATAAATTAAATAAAATTTTTAATTTGCATAAAAGACGCTACCAAACATTGTATATGAACACGAAACACTCCCGTATTTGTCTACCGAGATTTAAATTAAAAACCGCCTTCAAGCTTGATGAGTTTTTTCTACAATAATTATTATTTAGACATGATCTAGGAAGATGAAAAATAAATTGAAAATTCAAAGTTATGTATGCGGTTGAAGTAAATTTTCCATAATCCTGGCTGGTTTGTAATATATCTTGATTTTATGGTGAAGTGAGGAATGTAAGCGGTGACGTAAATCAATCTGGTAAATTAACGAACCTGCAGTGCAGTGCCGACTTGAAACTTGATAGAACGGTGGTGGATTCCACGCTGACCCTAAATAATAATTTTTAATCATGTCTACATGACGCTGAAACTTTTCAAAAGTATCGTCGGCGAAAAATACCGCTTCCCTCGCTTGAGTGTTTACTTTTACTAAAGAGTTCTTACTAAGTTTAAAAAAAATCTAATGGGGTTCATAAAAGAGTAACAAATCCTTCCCAAATTTGTAATCAAGAACTGACTTTATTTTTAAATAACATTAATAAATTTTTGATAAAATTTTATAAAATTTAACTTGGTTTAAAAAAGACAACTTGTAACTTTTGAGTTATTTATCAAATTAATTTGGCAAAAAGTAATTTTAATGTTTCATATTTTAGTTTTAAAACGGTATATGATGTATACTGGATGTTCGGTTTTTATTGTTGCAAATTTAGCTAGGTGATAGAATATTCAATTTTAAGATAAAAGTTTCCTATGAACATATATCGCAAAATTTTATATACCTATAAAGGAGCTACATCCTCTGAAAGCGGTGCATCTTTTAATGAATTTTTTCCAATATGTCAGAAACCATTTTAGATAAAATTACAAAATTTGGTACAAGTAATAGCCTTTACAAGTATACACCCAAACAGACTCAAAAATAAAATGTCAAATTTTTACTCAAAAGCGTCTTAAACTGGGTGGTTTCGGGTAAAAAGTACCCAAACTACTTTGGCTGTTGGTTCTTGCCACTTACAGCTACAAAATTCTAAATTTCATAGTTTTTCACAAAAAAGATGTGTCTTGCGTTTTTCCGATACAACGTAGGTACCGTTTTTGAGAAAAATCAGTTTACAATTTGTCTTACGTATATACATAAAGCGGATAAAAATCAAAAATTAAATTCGTTTTACCGTTTAAGAAGCCCGTGATTAAAACTTTTGACAACAGATCTTTGTATGCGTTCAGGGGTTTATCAGCTGTATACCAACTTTTGTAATTGTATTCTGAAATAGTAAAAAAAAACATTAAAAAAAACGCATCTCTTTCAGGGGGTGTAGCTCGCTTACATAACATTTTTTGATACATGTCCATAGGAAACTTTTGTCTTAAAATTAAATATTCACTTATTTAAGTTGTAACAATAAAAACGAAACAGCCTGTATATAAAATAACAACCTACTTTTTTAATTTTAGACTTCTCAAGTTTTTGATTCCGTGCATTGGCTCTTAAAAAAACTGTTTGGAAGTTTGAGAAAGTTGCAAAATTTCCTAAATGGTAAAAATTAATGGTATACAAAGAAAAACACGATAAAAGTATATGAAGCGTTTGTAATAAGTGGCGAAAAATGCCACTACAGAGTACAAAGAGATAAATTAAGCAACTGGGTCACCAAGTCATTCAATAAGAAACATCTATTTACTCCCTCCTGAGCAGAATTGAAGTTATAAAGTTTAATTTTCAGTTGTTTGCACAAGAAATAACATAAACCCAAAAAGTTTCACCATCAGTAATTACAATTAGGTTTAAAAATGCGGTTTTTTAAAAATACAGTTTATTGTAATGTTGCCAAAAACATTTAACTCATTGCAATCTAATTGATAATTTTAATTATAATCGATTTAATTAGTACTCGAAAACGATAAAATTATGCAAAAGGATTTAAAATGGTAATTAGTACGAGA